ATCCGCCAGACCAGGAGTCCTTGCCAGCCTCGATCCTTCACATCTGGAGGGAATTGGCAGCCGACATGGACGACGATTGGGGATGGGTCCCGGAATACATCTACATTGAGGGTGACGAACAAGTCCTCCTGGAGGCACTGGAGAAGGGAAAGCTACGGGTGATCAGCGATGGCTCCTTCAAGCAACAAGTGGGCACAGCCGCTGTCCAGCTACAAACTAGACGGGGAGGGCACATCATATAGATCAAGTGTCGTACACCTGGTAAACGAGAAGATCAGAGTGCATACCGGAGTGAACTTATCCGTCTGTTAGCTGGTTTCTTGGTGGCTTTGTGGCTCCGCCTACGCCTACAGTCCCTCGCCAAGCCACGAGTCCATGTGGCGTGTGATGGGAGTGCCGCGCTTTGCCAGGCCTTCTCAACTTGGCCGCTGTCTCCCACCGCCCCACACTTTGATCTCTTGTCCTCCATCCGCGAGGCCCTCCGAGTTTCCAACATATCCTGGGCCAAACAACACGTGGGGTGGACACGCTGACCGAACCAAGACATGGCGACAGATGTCTTCGTGGGAACGACGGAACTCCAAGGTGGACGACATGGCCCAGGGCTACGCCAACGAGCTGATCGCCACCAATGACACGATCGCCACCAATCCCAAGTTCTTCTCCGAACCCTGTGCGATCTACATCGACAACAAGAAGGTCTCCTGCCTGGCCTTGGAATCGGTGGACGAAGCCGTTGTCCTGCCGGAATTGATGGAATACTGGGCAGCCAAAGACCGCCTCGCTCCCGAACACTTCCGATTGGTGGACTGGCCGATCGTGCACCGAGCGATGAAGTCTCTGAGGCCCGCCGAACAGCGCTTCATGACAAAACACACCGTTGGGATGTGCGGTGTTGGCAAGTTCCGTAAACAATGGGGCCTCGACTCCGAGAACCGATGCCCCTTGTGCGGCCTGGAGGAAGACCACCTACATGTCCCCCGCTGCCCTTCTGACCCGGCCAAGACCCAGTGGCAGCTCCTACTCCAAGAACTCCAAGAATGGTTCCAGTCCACCACCACTGCTACGCCCATCGCCCAATTCCTCAGGGCCCTCCTTCGCACAATCCGCACTCCTCACAACCAGCCTCAAACAGAGACTCCGTGATACCGCCTACACGGAATGTCTTCTTCCGCCTTCACCCAAGTCTGTGAGGCTCAACTCCGCCTTGGCCCCCAATGTCTCCTTGAAGGCCTTCTCGTCCACGGCTGGGCCGACCTCCAGCAACAATTCTACCGCTCTCGCGGTAGTCGCCGATCCGGTAACCGCTGGGCTGCCAATCTATCTTGACAGCTCATCCTTATTGGTAAAGGGATGTGGAAGCATCGCAATGATGTCTTTCATTCTGACGACAACATTGTCAACCAACAGCGTGCGACTGCTCTCGATTGACGCATCCACAAAGAGTTTGACATGGGTCCTCGCGACCTACCTCGGAACCTTCGCCCTGTCATCCGTCGATCCCGCCTTGTAGACATCCTCCGACTCCACCTGGCGGACAAGGAGGAATGGGTCCTCGTCATCTCCAAAGCCCGCCGCAAAATCAAACGATCTCTTGCAGGCAGGCGACGCTTGATGTGGGAACTGACCCACCCTACTCCTCGCCCAGTAGCCCCCTGACTTACTTGTCTACATATTTACCAAAGTGATTCTGGTACCGGTACATCACAAGCCACACGTACCCCAGTCTAACACATACATATTCTCCACCCTACCTTGCATGGGAGAGCCGATTGTCCCTTGACACTTTTGACTTGCGAGCAACGTTCCTCTATTGAACGCCTCCACGTGGTTCAAACTTTGTTGACCAAAAGCAACCTAGTTCCTGGCCTCTACAGCCATATTACACCGGCAGTTGGATACTCTAGAAGTAGCATAATACCAATTAATGATTCAGTTATATATATATTGTAAAAAGTCACTGAGTTGATCTATCCTACAACTTGAAAGAATAGGAACTGAACTGAATTGAATTGAATTTGGGGTCAATATATTCCTACGACTTGAAAGAATAGGAACTTGCTCATGATGAGTGGAAGATTTCAGAATACTGGACATGGTTCCAATTGAAGAAATGCTGGACAAAACAGATCGCAGCGAGGCCAAGGTAATGGTCAATACAATGGAAATAAGAGTGGCAATGGTAGCCAAAAAGAGAAGAAGTTTCATCCTCTGACTAGAGGAAACATTCCCAAATTTAGCTTTGATGAAGTAAAGAAGACATTGGTGATCAAAATGTCAACCATGAAGATCCATCATATTGATGACATGATTCAGAGTGTACAAACCTTGAAGTTGTTCAATATTGAAAGTGTGAAGCCGACATTGGTATTGGTAACTGATGACTGTTAGAAGTAAGCAATTCACTGCCGCCTGCAATCTGCCTGTTCAATTGACTGTGATTTAGCTGTCCAGGTATTGTTGCCTTCTAAGTATATGAATTCACAGTATATAGAAGTATATAGATCTATCAGAGATCCTACTTTATCAACCAATTCACTCATTGCATGCAATATATTATAAAAAGTGAGAACAGTCTCTCAACTTTTGACTTTGACTCTTTCTTCTCCAGCTCAGTGGAAATTCTCAGAATTCTCTCTACGTCAGCCTGACATGCTGCAAGTTCAATCTGTTTATCCGTTCACCTTCCACTGTTGTCGGTACTTTGATTAATATCCAACTTTGGTTCTTGCTTGAATCTTGTTTTCTTACATCATCAGCAAGATGATTTCCATAGAAATAAATTATCTTTTCCGACTCGCCACGCGCGATGTTTTTAGTCGTATCAGTCTTCATTTTTAGTTGTATCAGTTGACATCATTTCTCTATTGTTCACATGTATTCTCTTTTTCTCGTTTCTTCAAATATGTACTTCAAAAATCCTAATATATCCAACACAATCCTGCATTGCTCCTAATCTTGTTCTCCTTGAATCAATGATCTGAAATCCAAATTTTTTTGTCCCTGTAGAGGTTTGCTCATGAAATCTCCCCACATCTTTTCAGTTGGACAATATTCAATAGTCACATTTCCTTTCTTGACTTGATCAGTCATAGAGAAATATTGAATGTTTGAAGCTCAGCTTTGCTTTCCGGCACTATCACGTCCATTCTTTTCCAATAGAATTGTCCACAATATCTGTGTTGCACCATCATCGACACCAATCAATTCAGCTTCTTTTGAACTTTGACGGTTCAACTTCTGTTTCTTTGAGATTTTTTGTAATCCTCCTTCACCCATAGTCAATACACCTCCAGTGTGACTTCTGAAATCTGGATGAACTGCAAATGAGGATGCATCAATATACCATTTGAAAGTTCGTAAATCTTTTGCACTCAGCATCAGGTGCATTTAATACATCAGCTTCACTAGCTTCTTCCAATCAGTTTCATTTGGTTTCTGTACTCTTGTAGAAAGTACTGAAATAGTCGGAGCAATATCCAATCTCGCTCTCTTACTCAGAAATAATCCTTTGGCGATGAATGTGTGAAAAAGTTCACGTTTCTCATCATTCAATTTTTCTCCTTTTCCGATTGATAGCAAATTGTTACTTGCTGGTGTCTTACACCCTTCATTCTCCTTGAACTTCACAGGAAATTCATTCAACATTCGATTAACATAGTCATCCATTCGGACTTTGACTTTCCCCCTTTTACTGAAATCCAGGGTCATTCCCAAATATTCGTGAATTTTTCCTCGCTTGGATTTGACTGGTTTGATTGAACCATACTTTTGATTCATCCATTCACAAAAATCATCATTCACTTTTGGATCGATGTGGCTTGATAACAGATCGTCCACATGAAATCAAATAGTTTGTTGCTTGCCATTCACAATCTTGTTGGCAATACATCCATTGTATGGATTGAAAATAAAAAAATATGTTTCTCCATGTCTCCTCTCAACTTTTGTACTATGTCTTCAACATGAATTGGTTCCCAACATTCTCTTTGTATCAATTGGTCAAGTTCTTTCATCACAGCCTTATTACCTTCATCTTTGAATAATTTCAGTCCCTTATTTAGGTAGTATTGTTGGATAAACAATACTCCTTCATTTTGAACTTTATCCTTGATTTGTTGCATGAATCGCAAAATCACAGTTGCCTTATCTTTTCCATATTTGGCTTTCTTGTCACTTCCAACCTGTTGGAATAGTAGATTGTATTTCGACTCTTTTTCGGAATCCTTTTCCTTGAATTTTCCTTCATTGAAATTATGTCATTCAAATAACCTTTCAATCTCTTGACTTTTTCCTTTTTTCTCATTGCACTCCTGTTCTTTAACAAATTGGACTTCAGTTTCTTTTGGTTCAGGTATTGTTGATTATACCTTGGTTGATCCCAATTATTGCGTTCGGGTGGTCTCATTTTTATACCACTCCTGGTTTTCCTTGGACTGAATATGTCCTCTTTATTCACTTCATCATTTTCATCATTATCGTTGTCACTTGATTCGTCCGAATTATCGTCAGATTCATTATTTTCATTTTTATTATCATCCAAATTTGCCACAAATTCGCGAACATCATTGACTTGATTTTCACATTCTTTGATTTCATCTTGAATTTGATCAATTAAATCGTCATTTTCCTGATATGTTTTGCATGTTTCCTTGATTTGTTCTTCATCGTTAAGTGATTCGACATCTTCCTTGTCTTTTTGTATGTCTTCCTCAATTTCTTGAATCTTTTCATTTAAATCTTCATCATTCTGATATTTTTCATTTGGATTGGGATCTTGATCGCAATTATCATCATCATTTCTCTGTCTCAATTGTTCATAAATACTTGCAACACTCCTGTCTTCTGTCTGTTCTTCAACATTTTTGGTGTGCTCATTTTCATAGTTTTCAATAAATTCTTCCGCTTCTTCAAGTAAAGCTGCAATTTCATCTTGATCAATCTTTTCATTACAAAGATTCTCATTGCTTTGTTTGTATTCATTTTTGCGTGGAATATATGTATCATCCCACAGTTCATCTGGGTCCACTCCTGCGAGCAAATCACCATCCAATATGATTTCACCATTCTTCCAATGATAAGTACGCAAATCACGAACGCCCTTGTTGTGTGCCATTTGTTCCACAATTTTGATCACTTGATTGGTGATCGGAAGTACCGTTACATAGGGTCTCGTTACTGTCTTTTTTGTATTAAGATCAAGTAACATATGTCCTGCTTGTATGCTGTCAATTACTCCAAGATAAATACCATCAATTGTTCTTGATTGTTGACTGTTGTTGGTCGTGTGACCATATCCTTGTACAAAGGATCCAATTTCAGCAACACATTCTTTTGAAAAATCCACCGGTTTTTGTCTCACAATCATATGTGGACTGTAATATTTCGAAATTCCCTCCTTTGCAGGATAAAAGTTAATAACCTTTGTCACATGCTTGAGTAAAGCAATAGTCAAAACCTTGGGAATTGCCTTGAACACCATTTGATGATCGTGTGCTCGGAATAATCCTTTTAATGTTTGATTGCTGCGCTCAATAGTTGGTTCGTGTTCGCCCGGCGCGGCATAATTCATGGTCACAACCATAATATCTTTCATGTCATCAAATAGCAGTTTGAATTCGTTGTTGCAATAAATAGTTTTGATTCAAAATTCAGCATGATTATAAATGCCTAAAATGTTAGCAATCGACTTGTAAATAGCATCATTTGTCCGATCTTTCAGTTGGAATTTGATTGCTTTGTCAATACTGACAAAAAACGCAACATTGTTGATAAACATAATGTCGATGCATAAATCCATGTTCAAATTGTGTTTCAGGAGTTCCTTGGGCACTTTGTTGGGATATGACAAAATATGAGTTTTTATGTTCCAAAATGGAAAGAAGGCAGCATGTTACGTGTGTGGCAACGAAGATCATATGTCTCCAAAATGCCCAAACAGACTGCTACCAAAGATCCAATGGAAGAATCAGGATAAATATGTTGACTATGGGAAGAAGCTCAATCTTAGTCAGATTGGAGCAACTGTCCCAGCTACTGTCCCAGCTACTATTCCAGCTATAGTTCCTGGAGCTTCAGCATCCACAAGTGGAGCATCAAGTGTTGCGGGAAGCATTAACACACCTTTGCAACTTGCTCATACTACAGGTAATCAAATGATGCAAGTTCCTTCTGGAATGCAGCTCATGCAGATTCCAACTCAAGGTGGCAGCACTATTACTGTCCCTTATTCTATGAATGCTAACGGTGAGATTGCGTTCAGTGGAATGCAACTCAGCCGACAAGGCTTCAGTGGTGCTCAAGTGCGCCAAGGATTCAATGCAACTCAAGCTCAAACTCCGCAAGCTGTGAAAACTGGATATTTTGATACGTCAAATGTCTTTCACGATGCGGTATCAAGGGAAAGCATGAGAATGGCAATGATGTCTATCTTATTCCATGTCCTGCTGGTATGACAAATGTTGGACTTCAAGCCCACTGGCACTATGCTAGTGAAGATGAAGACTTGCCTGATCTTGCTACTGAAGCAGATCAAGGTCTGCAGTTTATTCAAAGCCGCAGAAAGGAAAGAGATCCATTTGGGTTGTATGATCATGTCATCATGGACAGTGGGCAGCAGAGTTCTTGACGAAGAAGGTTTTCTAGGAAGATTTCCACCTCCAGTTTATCACGATGAAGATGGAATTGCCAATGTACTTGCTATGCGCGAGATGATTGCTGTGGGATACCGCATTACTATGGATACTGATGCTGACAATGCTTTTATTGTGCATTGTGATGGAAAACAAAAGACGTGATTTGTGAATTGTAAGGATGTGTATGTGTTGGAGCAACTTGGAGCAAATGTCAAACCAGGTGCCAAAGAGACAAGAGCGATGTACTGTCGCCAGTCAACCCCATTTTGAACTTTCTTCAAACAAACAGAATGGATATGCTGGACTAGAGATGACCTCCAAGATGGCAACCGTTCGAAAGAACAAGGAAGGATTCGCTCCAAGACAAGTCAAGGCTGCGATGGAAGCGAGAAGTGCAATGCACATACTCAATGCTCCAAGCACCAAAAGTCTGAAGTATGCGATCCAATCTGGTCTCATCAAGAACTGTCCTATCACCGAAGAAGCGATCAATCATGCCAAAGCAATCTTTTGACCTGACGCCTCTACATTGAAAGGCAAGTCAACAAGACCAACTCCAAAGAAGACGTACGACAACTTCTTCAGTCCACCAGAGGAATTATGTCAGCACAATCGATCTATTACCGTCTGTATTGATCACATGGAGATCAAGAATGCTAAGTTTCTCACCTGCATTGATACCACTGTGCTTTATCGCTCGTGTATTCCCTTGCAGAACCTGAAGACTGACCCTGTATTCAAAGCATTGGATAAGATATTCCGCCGCTACAACAAGGCAGGCTTTCAAGTCAAGGTCATCAAGTGCGATAGGGCGTTCATTCCTCTCACAGATGATATGCTAGACGATATGGGTGTTACTATTGACCCAACTGCAGCTGGAGACCACGAGCCTACCGCTGAGCGAAACAATAGGACGCTGAAAGAAAGAGTCAGAGTAGCTCTTGCACGATTACCCTACAAAGTGGTCCCAAAAGTGATCACTGAATGTCTTGGACGTCGAGCCGCCGAGCTATTGAATGTCTTTCCCCAGAAAGACAGTATCTCATCACATTTCAGTCTGCAGCAACTCATTGATAATGTCAATATCAACTACAAGAGTGACATGGTTGCTGAACTTGGACAATATGTTCATGCAATTAAGACGGATTCCAGCAATTCGATGAAATCCCAAAGTATCGAAGCAATTTACATTGAACCTACAAAGGGACAATGTACTGGGCACCGAGTGCTCAACCTCAATACTAAGAAGATGATTTCCCGACCCAAGGTCGTTGTACTACCCGTTACCAATCAAGTAATCCAGCGTGTTGAAGCTTGGGCTGCTGCCAAAGGTGTTACTTCCATGAAGTTTTTTGATAAGAAGAGAGATTTGGAGACATTTCAAGATGGCGATCAAATCACAGGAGTGGATGATACGGAACAAGGTTACTTAGAAGAAGCCTTTGATCAGGACTATGAACGTGATTTCAATCTATGTGGACAATTCGATGATATCAATGACTCCAAAAGAGAAGAGCTCTTGGCCGATGCAGACAATGATGTCGATGATATGCCAGAACTCACTGTCAGATTCCAAGGAGATGATGACTATGAATCAGACGACGATTCGGGTGATGATCTATGTGGACAATTCGATGATATTAATGACTCCGAAAGAGAAGAGCTCTTGGAAGATGCAGACAATGATGTCGATGATATGCCAGAACTCACTGTCAGATTCCGTGGAGATGACGACTATGAATCAGACGACGATTGGGGTGATGAAGGCAATGAAGAGGAAGAACCTATTGTGGCCAATTTCGATCACCATCAAGAAAATGTCGATAGAGGAACCGATGATATTGGGAGCCTCGTTACTGATCTGGAGGACCTACAAGAACCGCCAGAAGAAGAGATTGTATTTGAGCCTGAAGAGCCTCAAGTAGCAAAAGTCACTCGATCTGGGCAAACGTATGCACAAGCTGCAATGTCTGGGCTGTACCTTTCTCAAGTTCCAAAGAAACCAAGAGAATGGCCTTCGAGCAGGAGTGGCAGTTCTGACAATAAGAACAAGAATTGAGTTGCGACAAGACGCAACCATCAAGAGAGAGAAATGAAACCATTGAAGAACAAGTTAAAATCTGGTATTCACACCAAAGAAGGAAGTCGCAGTACTAAAGACAGTAAAGCTATCCTTGAAGCAAAGCACAATCTATGCTTCCAACAGATTGGGAATGAGATGAAAGCTGATTATGGAGAGCACAACGCTATTCTGATCGCTCGTTGCATGATGCAGATCAAGGCCAAAGTCAAACTTCATTCAACAGTATTACAGCAATCAAGGACTGAAGAAGTTTGGTGATGATGGAAAGGATGCTGTGGATAAGGAATTGAGACAAATGCTCCTGAGAGATTGTTGCACTCCCAAGTTTGTTAAAGACATGATCGCGTCTGAGCGAAAGAAGGCCCAATCAGCAATGATGTTACTTGCGGAGAAGCAATTTGAAAAGACGATTAAAGGTCGCCTAGTATACCAAGGCGATGGAACTCGTGAATGGTTATCGCAAGAGGACACTGCAAGTCCAACTGCATTGCAGGAAGCAATCACCACTACTTGTGTTATTGATGCACACGAAGGTAGAGATATAATGCAAGTTCAATCTGTTTATCCGTTCACCTTCCACTGTAGTCGGTACTTTGATTAATATCCAACTTTGGCTCTTGCTTGAATCTTGTTTTCTTACATCATCAGCAAGATGATTTCCATAGAAATAAATTATCTTTTCCGACTCGCCACGCGCGATGTTTTTAGTCGTATCAGTCTTCATTTTTAGTCGTATCAGTCGACATCATTTCTCTATCGTTCACATGTATTCTCTTTTTCTCGTTTCTTCAAATATGTACTTCAAAAATCCTAATATATCCAACTCACTCCTGCCGTTTCATTAACATAGTTGATGACAACGGAACATCAAAGGAAATTGCCTTGCTCCGAATCTTGTTCTCCTTGAATCAATGATCTGAAATCCCAAAATTTTTGTCCCTGTAGAGGTTTGCTCATGAAATCTCCCCACATCTTTTCAGTTGGACAATATTCAATAGTCACATTTCCTTTCTTGACTTGATCAGTCATAGAGAAATATTGAATGTTTGAAGCTCAGCTTTGCTTTCCGGCACTATCACGTCCATTCTTTTCCAATAGAATAGAACTCTTGTTGTCCTGATATAGGATGTTCTCTTCAACAGGATGACCTTGTGCTTCAACAAACAATTCTGTCCACAATATCTGTGTTGCAGCATCATCGACACCAATCAATTCGGCTTCTGTTGAACTGTGACGGTTCAACTTCTGTTTCTTCGAGATTTTTTGTAATCCTCCTTCACCCATAGTCAATACACCTCCAGTGTGACTTCTGAAATCTGGATGAACTGCAAATGAGGATGCATCAATATACCATTTGAAAGTTCGTAAATATTTTGCACTCAGCATCAGGTGCATTTAATACATCAGCTTCACTAGCTTCTTCCAATCAGTTTCATTTGGTTTCTGTACTCTTGTAGAAAGTACTGAAATAGTCGGAGCAATATCCAATCTCGCTCTCTTACTCAGAAATAATCCTTTGGCGATGAATGTGTGAAAAAGTTCACGTTTCTCATCATTCAATTTTTCTCCTTTTCCGATTGATAGCAAATTGTTACTTGCTGGTGTCTTACACCCTTCATTCTCCTTGAACTTCACAGGAAATTCATTCAACATTCGATTAACATAGTCATCCATTCGGACTTTGACTTTCCCCCTTTTACTGAAATCCAGGGTCATTCCCAAATATTCATGAGTTTTTCCCCGCTTGGATTTGACCAAGGATAGAAGGAGATATACTTCGAGCCTGCCGGGTAGCTAAAAACGTTAACAGTAGAAATTTGTACGTAATATATTGTGTACAACCTGGATCTCAAAACGATCATCCGTCAGTAGTTGACTAGTCCGACTTCACCTTGTCCACCTTGGAATGCAGTGATATTTGCCTCATTGCAATTGTGTTTCAAATATCTTTTCAGCAAACCTAAACTTTGAAAGTAGCATGATGGGTGCATGCATGCCATTGTTGGTCGAAACAAGGACAGAAGTCTATTGTTTTGTCCATACTGTATCCTTATGCTTCTCGCAACTCCCAAACCCCCGGTGCAGAATGCTTCATGACAGACGAATTCATCAGCGCTGGATTCTTTCACTCCGCATGCAAGGGCAAATTTGATGCCAAATGGGGAGGCTTTCTTTTGCAATAGTTTGGGATGTAACATTGAATATATTTCCCCATGATATTGATATTTTTCCTTTTTCCAGTTGTCCAGTTGTCAGGTCTCCGGTTGCACCGATTGGAAGTTTTGCATTCCGTGAATATTGCTGTTCCTCAAAAAAATCGCGACATGCCTTCTTCTCTTCATCATTGATGCGCTGTTTTTGTGGTTTTTGCTGAGGCGCCAAAGCGGGATTCCCCTGTTGATCTGCCATGTTTCACTAGCAGTTTCAAGGTTTGATTTTTCTATGATCCCTACCTTGCAGCCCAGAGAAAAGAGCATGTTCTTGTCGTGTCCCGAAAAGAAAGGAGTCGATTCGGAGACATCACGTTAATTTTGAAAAATGTAGTGAAGAAGTATGAAGGAGTATTCATCGGAAGGGTATGGGTTTAATGAAAAGAGTGAGCAAGGTAGGAGAAAATGAGGGGGGTACGAGAGCCTTTCGCGGTCAGGGCCATATGGCAAACGGCAAAAGAGCAATGATATGCTACCGTGGTACCACCATTGCTGTTATCACTTGAGAGCCGTGGCTTATTGGCTTGGCGAAAGAAAAAGGATTCTAGACTACTTCGAATAATCAATGCGCGGTTCGCGCTGAAAATCGAAGGTGGACAACAACGTCAACTCCTGTGCGAAGAGTTTTTGGCCGGCAGGCTCAAAGTATATCTCCTTCTATCCTTGATTTGACTGGTTTGGTCAAAACATACTTTTGATTCATCCATTCACAAAAATCATCATTCACTTTTGGATCGATGTGGCTTGATAACAGATCGTCCACATGAAATTGAATAGTTTGTTGCTTGCCATTCACAATCTTGTTGGCAATACATCCATTGTATGGATTGAAAATAAAACCATGTTTCTCCATGTCTCCTCTCAACTTTTTGTACCAGAGCATAGAGGCCTCTAACATCCCATAGATGGCTTGCAATACTCTCACGTAAATCACTTGTTTTCCGTTCTCAATTACAACGTAATCACAATACCTTGGCTCCAGTTGTATCATCATGTCGACCAATAATCCAGTGATCTTCATCATCACTCTGGATCTCGCATCCATTGGCATTTGAGTTTGAATAAATGCATTTGAAATTTCCAAAGACATCATATCTCGTCCTTCATATGCATCAATCACACATGTGATCATAATCGCTTCCAATGCTGCAGTCGGACTTGAAGTATCCTCTCAAGATAGCCATTCTTGAGTTCCATATCCTTTGTATACACATCTTCCTTTTATTTCACCAGTGTTTTTCTCTGCTAATAACATCATAGCATCTTGGGCTCTTCTTTTTCCCAAATCAGCCATGTCTTCAACATGAATTGGTTCCCAACATTCTCTTTGTATCAATTGGTCAAGTTCTTTCATCACAGCCTTATTACCTTCATCTTTAAATAATTTCAGTCCCTTATTTAGGTAGTATTGTTGGATAAACAATACTCCTTCATTTTGAACTTTATCCTTGATTTGTTGCATGAATTGCGCAATCAGAGTTGCCTTATCTTTTCCATATTCGGCTTTCTTGTCACTTCCAACCTGTTGGAATAGTAGATTGTATTTCGACTCTTTTTTCAGAATCCTTTTCCTTGAATTTTCCTTCATTGAAACTATGTCATTCAAATAACCTTTCAATTTCTTGACTTTTTCCTTTTTTCTCATTGCACTCCTGTTCTTTAACAAATTGGACTTCAGTTTCTTTTGGTTCAGGTATTGTTGATTATACCTTGGTCGATCCCAATTATTGCGTTCGGGTGGTCTCATTTTTATTCCATCTTGAACATAAGATTTACCACTCCTGGTTTTCCTTGGACTGAATATGTCCTCTTTATTCACTTCATCATTTTCATCATTATCGTTGTCACTTGATTCGTCCGAATTATTATCAGATTCATTATTTTCATTTTCATTATCATCCAAATTTGCCACAAATTCGCGAACATCGTTGACTTGATTTTCACATTCTTTGATTTCATCTTGAATTTGATCAATTAAATCGTCATTTTCCTGATATGTTTTGCGTGTTTCCTTGATTTGTTCTTCATCGTTAAGTGATTCGACATCTTCCTTGTCTTTTTGTATGTCTTCCTCAATTTCTTGAATCTTTTCATTTAAATCTTCATCATTCTGATATTTTTCATTTGGATTGGGATCTTGATCGCAATTATCATCATCATTTCTCTGTCTCAATTGTTCATAAATACTTGCAACACTCCTGTCTTCTGTCTGTTCTTCAACATTTTTGGTGTGCTCATTTTCATAGTTTTCAATAAATTCTTCCGCTTCTTCAAGTAAAGCTGCAATTTCATCTTGATCAATCTTTTCATTACAAAGATTCTCATTGCTTTGTTTGTATTCATTTTTGCGTGGAATATATGTATCATCCCACAGTTCATCTGGGTCCACTCCTGCGAGCAAATCACCATCCAATATGATTTCACCATTCTTCCAATGATAAGTACGCAAATCACAAACGCCCTCGTCGTGTGCCATTTGTTCCACAATTTTGATCACTTGTTTGGTGATCGGAAGTACCGTTACATAGGGTCTTGTTACTGTCTTTTTTGTATTAAGATCAAGTAACATATGTCCCGCTTGTATGCTGTCATTTACTCCAAGATAAATACCATCAATCGTTCTTGATCGTTGACTGTTGTTGGTCGTGTGACCATATCCTTGTACAAAGGATCCAATTTCAGCAACACATTCTTTTGAAAAATCCACCGGTTTTTGTCTCACAATCATATGTGGACTGTAATATTTCGAAATTCCCTCCTTTGCAGGATAAAAGTTAATAACCTTTGTCACATGCTTGAGTAAAGCAATAGTCAAAACCTTGGGAATTGCCTTGAACACCATTTGATGATCGTGTGCTCGGAATAATCCTTTTAATGTTTGATTGCTGCGCTCAATAGTTGGTTCGTGTTCGCCCGGCGCGGCATAATTCATGGTCACAACCATAATATCTTTCATGTCATCAAATAGCAGTTTGAATTCGTTGTTGCAATAAATAGTTTTGATTCAAAATTCAGCATGATTATAAATGCCTAAAATGTTAGCAATCGACTTGTAAATAGCATCATTTGTCCGATCTTTCAGTTGGAATTTGATTGCTTTGTCAATACTGACAAAAAACGCAACATTGTTGATAAACATAATGTCGATGCATAAATCCATGTTCAAATTGTGTTTCAGGAGTTCCTTGGGCACTTTGTTGGGATATGACAAAATATGAGTTTTTATGTTCCAAAATGGAAAGAAGGCAGCATGTTACGTGTGTGGCAACGAAGATCATATGTCTCCAAAATGCCCAAACAGACTGCTACCAAAGATCCAATGGAAGAATCAGGATAAATATGTTGACTATGGGAAGAAGCTCAATCTTAGTCAGATTGGAGCAACTGTCCCAGCTACTGTCCCAGCTACTATTCCAGCTATAGTTCCTGGAGCTTCAGCATCCACAAGTGGAGCATCAAGTGTTGCGGGAAGCATTAACACACCTTTGCAACTTGCTCATACTACAGGTAATCAAATGATGCAAGTTCCTTCTGGAATGCAGCTCATGCAGATTCCAACTCAAGGTGGCAGCACTATTACTGTCCCTTATTCTATGAATGCTAACGGTGAGATTGCGTTCAGTGGAATGCAACTCAGCCGACAAGGCTTCAGTGGTGCTCAAGTGCGCCAAGGATTCGATGCAACTCAAGCTCGAACTCCGCAAGCTGTAAAAACTGGATATTTTGATATGTCAAATGTCTTTCACGATGCGGTATCAAGGGAAAGCATGAGAATGGCAAGGATGTCTATCTTATTCCATGTCCTGCTGGTACGACAAATGTTGGACTTCAAGCCAACCGGCACTATGCTAGTGAAGATGAAGACTTGCCTGATCTTGCTACTGAAGCAGATCGAGGTCTGCAGTTTATTCAAAGCCGCAGAAAGGAAAGAGATCCATTTGGGTTGTACGATCATGTCATCATGGACAGTGATTGTACAAACACCACCATTTGTAATGGTGAGCTTATGCATGGACTCCGTCATGCTGAGAAAGAACTTGATATGCACACTAATGTGGGCAGCAGAGTTCTTGACGAAGAAGGTTTTCTAGGAAGATTTCCACCTCCAGTTTATCACAATGAAGATGGAATTGCCAATGTACTTGCTATGCGCAAGATGATTGCTGCGGGATACCGCATTATTATGGATACTGATGCTGACAATGCTTTTATTGTGCATTGTGATGGAAACCGAAAGATGCGATTTGTGAATTGTAAGGGTGTGTATGTGTTGGAGCAACTTGGAGCGAATGTCGAACCAGGTGCCAAAGAGACAAGTGTGATGTACCGTCGCCAGTCAAGCAACTTAAATAATCAACCCCATTTTGAACTTTCTTCAAACAAACAGAATGGATATACTGGACTAGAGATGACCTCCAAGATGGCAACCGTTCGAAAGAACAAGGAAGGATTCGCTCCAAGACAAGTCAAGGCTGCGATGCAAGCGAGAAGTGCAATTTGGACTGATTCCAAAAATTCGATGGAACCCCAAAGTATCAAAGCAATTTACATTGAACCTACGAAGGGACAACGTACTGGGCACCAAGTGCTCAACCTCAATACTAAGAAGATGATTTCCCAACCCAAGGTCGTTGTACTACCCGTTACCGATCAAGTAATCCAGCGTGTTGAAGCTTGGGCTGCTACCAAAGGTATTACTTCCATGAAGTTCTTTGATAAGAAGAGAGATTTGGAGACATTTCAAGATGGCGATCAAATTGCAGGAGTGGATGACACGGAACAAGGTTACTTAGAAGAAGCCTTTGATCAGGACTATGAACCTGAAGATGAAGATGAATGTGATTTCAATCTATGTGGACAATTTGATGATATCAATGACTCCAAAAGAGAAGAGCTCTTGGCCGATGCAGACAATGATGTCGATGATATGCCAGAACTCACTGTCAGATTCCAAGGAGATGATGACTATGAATCAGACGACGATTCGGGTGATGATCTATGTGGACAATTCGATGATATTAATGACTCCGAAAGAGAAGAGCTCTTGGAAGATGCAGACAATGATGTCGATGATATGCCAGAACTCACTGTCAGATTCTGTGGAGATGACGACTTTGAATCAGACGACGATTTGGGTGATGAAGGCAATGAAGAGGAAGAACCTATTGTGGCCAATTTCGATCACCATCAAGAAAATGTCGATAGAGGAACCGATGATATTGGGAGCCTTGTTACTGATCTGGAGGACCTACAAGAAACGCCAGAAGAAGAGATTGTATTTGAGCCTGAAGAGCCTCAAGTAGCAAAAGTCACTCGATCTGGGCAAACGTATGTGCAAGCTGCAATGTCTGGGCTGAACCTTTCTCAAGTTCCAAAGAAACCAAGAGAATGGCCTTCAAGCAGGAGTGGTAGTTCTGACAATAAGAACAAGAATCGAGCTGCAACAAGACCCAAGCATCGAGAAAGAGAATTGAAACCATTGAAGAACAAGTTAAAATCTGGTATTCACACCAAAGAAGGAAGTCGCAGTACTAAAGACAGTAAAGCTATCCTTGAAGCAAAGCACAATCTATGTTTCCAACAGATTGGGAATGAGATGAAAGCTGATTATGGAGAGCACAACACTATTCTGATCGCTCGTTGCATGATGCAGATCAAGGCCAAGTTTGATACTGGCAAAGGTCTGTGTTGGATATATTAGGATTTTCGAAGTACATATTTGGAGAAACGAGAAAAAGAGAATGCATGTGAACGATAGAGAAATGATGTCGACTGATACGACTAAAAATGAAGACTAATGCGACTAAAAACATCGAGCGTGGCGAGTCAGAAAACGGATTATAGTTCTATGGAAATCATCCTGTTGATGATGTAAGAAAGCAAGATTCAAGCAAGAGCCAAAGTTGGATACTAATCAAAGTACCGACTACAGTGGAAGGTGAACGGATAAACAGATTGAACTTGCAGCATA